CACACACACACACACACACACACACACACACACACACACACACACACACACACACACACACAAAGGATATAAAGAAAAGGAAAGTTAAAAATGCTGCCCTTTAGATTGCTCAACAGGTTTATTTTTGGAGCATCATTCATTCTCTAATAAACATAAAGTTTTCCTCATTCTGATTTTGTTTATGTGAGATATTATCTCAAAAAAATTTGTGAAATCATTTTAAAAACGTGCCCTTATAAACCACATTAGACTGAACATTAATAATTAACATCAAACTTTGTGGAGCAAGAATGTTTTTACACATTGTTTTGACATTTAAAGCAAAGTATTATCAGTCAAAACAAACCTTATTGTGTTTTAATCCTTTGGAAAACGTTTGATATTTTAATTATTAAAAAAATTCTCGCGTATCATTTTCTTGTTGTTTATGGTAACAAAACATGTGGATGACTTAGAAAAAAAACTGTAACAAGCACAAATAAAGTTGAGGCAGCAGACCCTCTGGTGGTCCCTGGTTTGGACGTTGACCTCTGCTCTGTTGACTAAAGAGCCAGGCTTTAAACACATTTTTCCTGCATGAATTATTAAAGATTACACAGAGACCGGGTTGCACTTTGTTGCGTAGTTGCAGTGAGGAGCTTCCCTTCTGCTCCACCAGACAAAAAGACCAATAAGTGGATTTTTATCTTACCTACATTTTAATTGTTCATTTTTGTGATACAGTATGTGTACATATTTAACAGTCAAACACGAGTCGTTGACTCCCCCCTTTCCAGATTGCTTCTTCAATACGAACAACACTCGAAACAAAGTCCTTGAATTTACGAGACTCCCTCAAGTCATGAGGTCAGATAACTGCTGTGGTGCGATGTGGGGAAATTCAAATAAAATATTGATGTGTGTTTTCTGGAGGACTTTGTTGCTCTGCCTGTAGGAGACAGTGTGGAGGACACGTGAGATAGTGAGGGGAATGAAAAGAGTCTGATGTACATACTTGCCCCTCAGGAAGTTAACCCTTCACCTACCTGACTCTGAAGTGATGGCTGATTCTTGGACCGCTGGGTGAACATGGACGTCAGTTGCTTCTGTGAAATTCTGCACTCGTCACACCGTTGAAATGAAGGGCTTTACATGATTTGTGTCGCCGCGCTGTTTAATCAACGATCACATGTTCTCCTGTCAATCAAAAGATTATCACAGTTGTAGTTTAATGGCCCAAGTCCCAGAGGAGCAGAAGTTGGATGTGTGTGAAGCCTAAAGAGTTTTAGAAATAATAAACTTTACACAGAAAACATGATGTTTGGAACTTTTTATTTGCTTATGTAGTTTTAAAACATTGTGGCACGTGGTTTTGTTATAGATTAAACAACGTGGCAGTGGTATTCGCTCGAGCTACTATTGCCTTCCTGTCGTGTATAATTTATAGATCACCATTTGCATTCGCTGTCCGTTGTCAGCATCCCTCGTCAACTTTGCTTTGTGAGAGTTACAGTCGATGAGCTCCTTGAGCTTGGAGGATCGCTGTATCCTAAAAACCACTGAAATACCGCGCCAGATGAGTAAGAAAGAGAAAGCAATAGAACAGGATAGGATAAAATGGGGGGGTGTTTGTAAGAAAAATGTGAGAAAATACAGTAGCAACGCTGGACAGTAAAAAGATGAGAAAAGAGGACGGGGTGCTGAGAGGTGGAGGAAGAAGAAAGAGCGAGGAGAAAAGAAGGGAGCAGGGGGAGCAGGACAGGGAGATTATTAGAGTTGGCCAGGTAGAGCCAGTGAAGCTGATCATTGAGGTGAATTGATGTGATTTCATGCTTTGTTTGCAAGATCATTCAGACCAAAGTGCAATGAAGACTTTCCCGCCACATCACATCTTACTGGTATGGGGACTTTATCATATTTCTAAGCTCGGAATCCATCTAGATTGAATCCACAATCTCAGGGGGGGCAACCCCTATTCAGCTGCACACAAGGAGCAGAGAGATTGCCCCTAAAGCCCAGAGATTGCCTATCTGTGACAGCGGCCTGGAGATGAGGGATACAAGTACCCTGAATAATGGAGCACTTGTACATGCACAGACATAAGTGGATGTGATGTGTCACGTTTAACGTCCCAGGCCGGCCGCTTTGATGTGAAATCTCAACGCTCTGGAAGCAGTATTGATTGATCCGTGTCTGTTGTTCACTTCATCAGGATTATCCGCACCAAAGTCCAGCAGCAGTTTCACCCGTCCCCCGACGGATCCGTCACACCGCTCTCCACGCCTGGCCATACCATAGGTGAGGCATCCAGTCGACCAAACCAATGAGAAACAGAACAGATATCTGTACAAACAGGAAGACGCAGACACTGACTGTGTTTTCTCTGTCAGTGCCCAGCACGGCCTCCCCTCCTGTGACCAGTGCCTCAAACAATCCCGTTGGATCCTACTCCATCAACGGCATCCTGGGTATCCCCCGCTCCAATGGCGAAAAGAGGAAACGGGATGATGGTAAGGAAGACACAAGATCCTTTTTTGTTTTTCATCCTCTGAGTCCACTTCATTGCTCATTTCATATATTGTTTTTATTTCTTGTGTGTGAAGAGGTTTATGACAGCGCTCGAGCCACGGGTGTTTCTGTGTGTTCTCTCCAGTGACTTGTTATGTTGTATATCTGGCCGGGCGAGTGTTCAGGGAGCTCTGATTCAACCATTTTTTTATTATTATTATACAGAAATGGCTACAGAGCTGCATCTCTATTTGATACCATACTCGTAGCTATTCTGGATATCTTCTATAGCAGTCATACAATTCTAATCCCCTTTGGCGAGACATCAGCACTACTGTTCATTCATTTCTGTCATTTCACTGAAGGCAGAAAAGCTTTTTTGTGATGCTCTATCTTCTAACAAGCTAACTTCTAGTCATTTATTATTCTGCAAATACACAAGATTTTTATGTGTTTTGTTTTTTTTACATTTGACTAGTGTGATAAATTAAGATGCTGCAAAGAATAAAATCCATGAACTGTCCGGAACAGATACAGATACACTCAAAGCTTATGTGAACGTCTATCTAAGCTAGATTTTCCTCATTCTTCGGCAGAGCAAGAGAGTGGACACACTGCCTGAGGGCTAATAGATTATCGGTTGTGCTAACAATTGGCTTTTTTAATGTCTATGAATTAACATGTCCCTGGTGGAGGCCTGAACAGGTGTAGGAACAGACCGGTGGAGGCAGGGAAGGGGCCTGCATGTGCGTGTGTGTGTGTGTGTGTGTGTGTGTGTGTGTGTGTGTGTGTGTG